TAGCTGCAAAAAATACACCAATGGGCTTTCAGCCTATGGATTATATTTTACTATAACTTGGATATGTTTTATCTTATATCCTAATTTTTAGTGGTTCTGATGTATACTCAGCCGTAGGACTTTTAATTATATCATCTCTTAGTTATTTTATAGTACCATGGACAGCGCCACGGGCATCTAATGCAGGGAGTTGCAACTACGGAGTTCTGTAATTCTTAATTGAAAAGAGTCCTTAACATAAAAGAATTGTGTTGTTTTTCCCAAATGATAAATGAAATCATGTGAAAAAATTTCAAATATTTTCCAAAGGCTATATAAACAAGCTAAGAAGAGTGCCGGCAGGTTTATGTCATCATCCTCAATTCTCTGCACACACTGGGCTTTCTCCATTTTGTAAAGTGCCCATTCCACAGGCTTTATTGTTCCACAAAATTGTTTTCCAATTTTAGTATATGTGCTGCCGAAGTGAGCATGCAAAATTCTTTTCATGAAGTCTAAGTGTCATTACCTCAGAATACCATGTCTGACTCTCAAAACTAACTTGATAACATATGCCAAGTTCTTCCCCTCTATGTTGTGAATTTTAATTTCTGTGATTTTTTTAGGCATACTAATATATTCTAGCCCCTAGTACAATTCCAGGTCCATAATAGACCTACCATGAGTATTTGCTTAATTGAATTGAATTTATTAGCACCCATAACATGACAACTTATTGATCTTAATTTAAAATCTAATGAAACTTTTGTTCTTACCATTTGCTTTTGACTTCTACATGCTGCTTATGACCAATATTAGCATTTACAAGGAGAGTTTTTGGATCTCATAAAAACTTCTTTATAACGATAAGTTGTTTGCTGTTTTCAATTCAGAATGAATTATAAGGAAAAATGTGATAATTTGTCAAAAAGCAGAGAAATTGTAATATGTAAATTGAAGAAACGGCAAGATATATTTTCACTTGCCCCTAAAATTGTATATAGCATTATTAGTGGACAGGGATGATAAGCAGATAGACAGATACGTAGAATAAAAAGATACATAGTATATGTAGTTTGCCTTTCTTCCTAATAAACAACATTCATTGCTTAAAGATTTCTGAAAGTCAAATATTACTAACATATTAACAGAAACACATTCTTCAAATATTTATTACCGTTAGGTAGTTTCACCTGGGTCTCTATCTCTAAATACCGACACGATGTGACTGATACATGTCTATTTCCATTTGATCTTTCCTGTGAGCTCTGGACTGCTGTATCTATTTCTTTCCTCTTAAATTTCTGCACTCAGATGTATGCTAGGAATCTTTACATTAACATGCCCCAAACTAGCATGTTGGTTCCCACTGAAAATTTGTGATTCTCTATGCTGTCTCAGTACTTCCAGAAAGAAACTATGGCAGAAGAGCCAGGAAATGTAGATGAGCAAATAGCATGATGTCGATGATCTCATCTCCATCACCGTGTTCCCGACTCAAGAACTCTGAAATTTACGTGCCTTCAGACTGGGTTTGACTTTTCTGGAATGACTTCCTTCCCATGAATCAGATTTCTGGTCGCCGATAACTTCTATAGTGTAAAGCTCTTCCTCTGAAGAAAAATATTAAATTTATTTTCATTGATTTTAGCTCCTTGAGTGTCAATAACAGAAACAGAAGGGGAGGGAGGGAGAGAGGGCAATCCTCCACCCACTGACTCACTCTCCCAGGGTCCCCGGTGAGTAGGGTCAAGCTGAAGTCAGAAGCTAGGAACTTCATAAGTCTCTCTTTTCTATTTCTCTATGCTAGTTTACTTTATACTTGAAATATGTGTAACAATCTAACATTACATCAAGCTTAACGAAACTCCCAAGGCAGTTACTTAAAACTGGAGGAGTCTTAGATGACATGAATACAACCAGGCGTTTGGAAAGGGTCTCAATTGGAGCTAAGAAGGACCACACCAGTGACCATACACAGAACGTACTGGGAAGTAGAGAATGAAATGTTCAGTATCATGGAAAGTATTTTTTCTATAAATTCAATACCAAATTTAATATTGAATATATTTTATTAAAGTAAAAATAAAATAAGCAATTATCTCTGCTTTGAAAAGTTACTGATATAGTCAACTTTGGCAGTTTATAGGTCAGAGCAACGGCCCAAGTGAGTGTGTAATGTGGTCATTGTGGTTAGTTCCACCTGGTTTTTGTGCTGATTCGGAGCCTCAGACTTGACTCAAAGGTAGAGGTCTACTAAATCGGGCAACTCAGTTCAGCTAAATATCTCTTCAGTGACTCGGCAAAGTTTCTTTGCTCAGCAAGAAGGGAATGCTAAGTTTTGCCCTTAAGAAAAGCTCACCATTTTGGTAGATGCTGACTGAGCTTAAAGCTGCCCCCTTGTTCTTCTAGAGACCTTGAATTTGCTCCCTGTTTTGTAACTTGATCCTGTAGTCACACAGACAAGTCTGATTCACTCAGGTTTGTCAGTGATTGTGTAAGACCTTTGGAAAGAATTCCTTCAGGTTCTGACTTCTTTATTTGCTCCAATTTTTTTTTTTTTTAATATGAGGCAGAAGACAAGATGTTTGATTATTGTCCTTATGCTGCTATGATTCTCATGAGTAACTAGCAAGGGAGAGCAGAATCGAAGAGGGATGAGGATGAAACACACAGGCATGTGCACATGTGTAAGTCAGAGCACGAGGCTAACGGAAACAATGATTAAAAAGCATATGATGGCTTTCATTAAGATACATTCTAATTCAGTAGCGCTTCAGTGGTAGCCAGGAATTTTTACTTTTTAACAAGAACTACAGATTCTTTTATAGATATCCTGAAGTAAAATACAAAGCATCTATCAGCTTAAACATAATTTTTTTGGTAGGATTTGGCAATCCATAGAACAGCCACACTGGATTCATGGCTGTGGATAGAATAAGCAAATTGCATTTAGAAGTTGCAATGGGTTGGAAAATCTATGTTATTTTATTTGAATCACTGCATCAGGAACCCGACTGACTTTTTAAAAAGTTAATTAGTGGTTTATTAAATATTGACCAATGGTATATATTAATTATACTAATTAATAAAATAAACTAATAAAATAATTATACTCACTAATAAATTAATATCTGGTTAGGGTATTGATGAAAGAATATCTTTAATCTCCTTGTTTCTTTTGCTGTGTTTAATATTTTTTAAGATTTATTTTTATTATTTTTTTATTGGAAAGGCGGATATACAGAGAGGAGAGACAGAGAGGAAGATCTTCCGTCTGATGATTCACTCCCCGAGTCAATAGATAAAACCAGCTATTAAACTCAGGTATTCCAATATGAGATGTGAGTAAATTAATCTCTATACTAAATGTCTGTCACTAGAGTTCTGAGAAATACTCTCTCTCAGTGAGTTAGTTGAATCCACTGATTTACAGCTCAGTCAGTTACGCTGCTGCTAGCAGCACAAACATGCTATGTGAGTGCTTGTTCCTGTCCTTGCTCTTGCTCCACTTTCTTTTTTTTTTTTTTTAAAGATTTATTTTATTTTTATTGGAAAGGCGGATATACAGAGAGGAGAGACAGAGAGGAAGATCTTCCATCCGATGATTCACTCCACGTGTGAGCGCAACGGCCAATGCTATGCAACGGCCAATGCTATGCAACGGCCAATGCTATGCAACGGCCAATGCTATGCCGGTCCAAAGCCAGGAGCCTCTTCCAGGTCTCCCACGTGAAGTGCAGGGTCCCAAAGCTTTGGGTCGTCCTCGACTGCTTTCCCGGGCCACAGGCAGGGAGCTGGATGGGAAGCAGGGCTGCCGGGATAGAACCGGCGCCCATATGGGATCCCAGGTGTGCAAGGTGAGGACCTTAACCACTGTGCCACCGCGCCGGGCCCATTGCTCCACTTTCTATCCGCTTCTTGCTCTGGAAGGTAGACGATGGCCCAGTGTATTGGGGTCTCTGCCATCCATTTGGGAGACCTGGATGGAGCTTCAGGCTCTGGCTTCAGTCTGGACTAATCCCAGCCATTGCAGCCATTTGGAGAAGAAACCATCAGATGAAGATTTCTTCTTCTCTCCTTTCATGGATTGTGCCTTTTAAAAAACAAAAACAACTTTCAAAGATTAACTATGCATGTATTTTTCAAAACGTTTGCATCAAAATAAATGTTTATGTTAGCTCCTTTATCCCTTAATTATTTTGAAGTACCTTCATATTTAGCTGAAATATGAATGAAATTTAGTTTTATTCTTAACAATATTCATTTTTTGTGTTTCTATAAAGTATTTAATACCATTTTTTGTAGAATTATGTTTGTTTTACTTACGTTGCCTTAAATCATTGTTTGTTCTTTCACTAATTTTCTAATACTTCTATGTTGAAATTTTATTTTATATTCTAGAAAGTGACTGTTCATTTGATTTCTTGCTCTTCCATCAACACTGAAAACTTTGCGCATCAAGTTAACTGTTGGATAAATAAATAAATAATATGACAAAATTGGAATTTGAATTTAAAACTTCCTCTACAAACACATTGCTTACATGACTGGAATTCTTATCACTCAAAGAAATGAGCAATTTTTTGAGGGGGGGGAAAGATTTAGAACTTCTCCAGAGTGGGAGAAATATTAGCCATAGTAGATCATAGCTGTGGTGATTACTGATAAGCCCTAAGTAATCCTGACAGGTTTAATAGTGTAAACATTTGTTTATTGCTTAGCAACAGCAGCAACTGGATCTAAAGTGATGCAACGTGGGAGGTGCTTCCATGAAGGAGTCCCTCTGAAGAGAAGAACAGCAGGGTGAGTGAACACCCAGGGGTGCCACAGACATCCTCTCCAAACATAAGCCACGTAACACTTCAACTTTATGACAAATGGTTTTTGTACTTCAATTTGTATCTTGTAGCTTTGGGCTCAAGTTAATGGATAAATATATAAGTCACTATGTTCCAAGTGCAGTTTCTGTAATGCCCAGGATAATTTTGTGATGATTCATTAAAGTGAATAGTTCAAACTTAATGGACATAAGATTTTCCATCCACTTGTAATTATAAGTGAGCAAGTTTGACTAGCTTTTAAGTATCTATGTGGCCATAATTATTTATGATAACATATTAGGTGAAATAGCTATTAACTGTCTTTAAATAGTGAAATAATGATTCAAAAAGAAATGAAGTTTAGTTTTACATTTATAAAAAGAAATTTATGTATGTGTATTTAGCCACAATAAGAAATGTTGAGAAATGACTTTAGACTACCACTACCTAAAGGCAGAGAAGGAATTAAGGGAAGAATATGTGTGTGTGTAGAACATGAAAATTTTAGTAATGGTTGGTTAGTAGACGTTGGGATTTTCTATGTAGTATTAAAAGTAAGTGAGTGAATGAATGAATGAAGGTAGGCTCTTCCATAGATGGAGAGTAATAGTACAAACCGAGTAATTCAATTTTTACTCAGATTACTAAGTAGCAAAAGGAAGGAGTCAGTGATTTTATGTGTCATGATGCCAAAATTAGTTTATAGACTCAAATCATTTAGTAAATTTAAAAATGTTTTAAGTACACACACTAAAAAAACTAAAGTAAATATTTTGCTTTTGAAATGCTTTCTTTTTGTAAATAAGTACATCTGTGATACTTTAAATTTCTCATTAAAGGCTTGCTCTTACAATTCACTCTTGAATAGCACTGTTCTTCTCCCACTGTACTCCATATTCACTTTTTTGGCCTTTAAATATTGCCATTGTTGGGGCTGTTTATTAGATACAGAAAATATTCGGAGTCACTCCTGAAGTTGGTTTTCTCAGTTCATGTAGGACAAACTACTGATATCTATCAGGTAATAATACATTTATTATATGTGGTTGTGCATTTGCCTTTTTCCCAAAATTGTTCAGTATTATTTCAATATTTAAAAGATATTACATAAAACACTATTAGAAACAAAACTGGGTTTTATTTTTGTGTGTCAGTGTGTGTTTGTTGCAAATGGGAATATTTCCTTGGAGTCATTATTCCTTCACATATGATCCACATTCATTTCTAGTGATTGTACAGTATATTTTTATTTTTTATCTAATATATAATATCAGTGGGTTGTGTATTGTGAGTAAATTCATTTCAGCATTGGTACCTGAGGAACAGCCATTATTCTTAGTGGAACCCTATACTGACAGGATAATCTGCTCTTGTTTCCTAGTGAGATAATTTGGCTTTCATTTTACTTCCATTTCCTATTTTCAAACGTTTTATTTATTTTTATTTTTCTTTCTGTTACTTTTTTCTCTTTTTCTTTAGTTACCATTCCTTTTTTATGTCACCTCATGGTTTTTCAAACTGATCAATTTTCACCTAACTGGCTTCCATTTGAAATGACATGGCTATTCTTATTCTCAGAGCCTTTTAAAGACAATTTCACAAAGAAATTTATTGAAAGAATTTATTTCTAATGTTATAGTTTTTCCTTCTAAGCTTTAAGGAAGACAGTATCATTGGATGAGGAAAATTGAGGTTGCTTAATAAATTAAAGGATATCATATGATAGAATTAGTTGAACTGATGTCAAGGGGGTAAATAACGAAAGCAGCTTTTACAATTGGCTTTATTTTTGTGTTTATGCTGTTGTGTTTAGGTTCAATGGTATGGAGAAGGCCTCATCGTAAAAAATTGTGAGAATGACGTAGAGATCTTTAATCTTCAGTCCCAGTTCCCAATGGCCAGTGGTAACCACAGCACAAGCCAGGTACTAAAAATTTAACCCAGGCCTTCCTTGAGGGTAGAGCAGGAATTCTAGTACTGCCCCCACTGCTGCCTCACAGTGGGTACAAGAGTAGGAAACTTCAGTCAAGACCCAGAAGCAGAATTTGAACCCAGGTACTCGGAAATATAAGATCTTCATCTTTAGATAAAACGTGAACATTGTTTAAATTGTCATGTTGAACTTTGTCTTCCCAGCTAGGACTCAGGCAACCATATCCTCCCCTAATCTTTACTAGACTCAGCTGCAGAATGCCAGTTGAGTTAGATTTTTTAAAGTTCCTTACTTTGTGGATTCTGTAGTTCTTCATGCATACTTAAAAATCTTTTTAAGGGACTGTGTATGTGATTAAAAATCTGATATTTTGAAAAAAATTGACTTGTAATATTAACGCAATGCTGGTGTGAAGCTGTTCATTGCATAGCTTTTTTTTTTTAAACATCCCATGTGAAAATATCTTAATAAATCAGTATTGCCTTGTGGTTCTGAATTTTTGCCAATGCATTTTCATGGTTTTGCATATCATAGTAATAATCTTATATTTTATGAAACCAAGAGCAATTACCTGAACAGCACTGTAATTTTTTTCCTTCAATAGCAACAAATGGTACAGAAATATGCTCAGCAACTCAGTGAAAGAATAGATGGAAAAATGTAAAATTACCTTTGAAGGGGGCTGTGCAGGACCTGCCAAGCGTAACCATTATAACTTATCTGGATGACATGAAATACACACGTCTTTTAACACCACAGGAATCATATGAAGGCTGGAAGCTGTCAGGCTTAATGGCTCTAAGTGAATAGGTGAGAGCAAACTCCCTGAACCAGTTAAAATGGCTTTACAAACAGTGACATTTCTCTCTGATACTTCGTGTTGGATGGGCTGACAAGGTTATTTCCTCTGAGAAAATGAAGATGCTTCATGCTGCAGATTGAAAGCCATCAACTTAGAGTATGGCATTTAAAGACATAAACCCAGGCAGGAAATGTAAATTAGAAAAACAAATGTGTTGAAAGAGAAGACAACTTAGCATATCTATTTGAACTACGTTCGCTTCAAAGACAATCCGTTTACTATAATGGGATGAAATCAGTGAGTGACAAGGAAAGTGAGCTGAAGTGCAGACATAAAGAAAAATCTAGCATAGGCATGTAACCTAGAAGCTAGGGTACCCACATTGAAGTACACTGTCTCACTCCTAGCTATAGCTTCTGAGTCTAATTTCCCTCCCAAACCCTGGAAGACAGCATTGATGATTCAAGTAATTGGATTTCTGTTTCACTTTCATCCTATTTTAGACTGTTCGGGTGCATTTGGGGAGTCAGTCGGTAGAGGAGAGTTCTGTGTTTCTCAAATCAAAGACAGAGTTCATACGGAGTCCAAAAGATTAAAGGAAATAACTAATAACCTAGGAAAGGGTAATGATTTTTTCTGTTACAAACAGAAATTAGATTAAATAATAGACTGCTTAAAATAAATTCACCTTCTGCTGTGTGTACATGGTAGCATATGGTTAGAAATTACCTCTCTCACAAATTCTAGTTTCTCTTACTTCTCACAAAAGTATTGGTGAAATCATTACACAGGCAAGAAAAAATTGTTATGATTCAGTATAAAATTATATTTATAATACATGTAATTAGATTATAATGTATAGAAAATTGCACGAAGAATTGTCACAAAATGAGCATCACCTGGAAAAAGAAATAGAATATTAGTAGTATTGTAGGTGCTCTCAGGTTGCTTCAGGTTCCCTTCACTGAGAAGGAAGGGAAACTAGAAAAAAAACTATACCTAATTCATTCTACCTCACTCTTCAACCTGAAGATCTTCATGTGGCTATTTGTGCTTCCTCATGATACCGTAACTGTGTCTCAAAAACAAAGAAGTAGAGATAAATAGACATTCTTAAAATTTATGTGTGAAAACTTAAAGATGTGTCTTTCCATTGTTCATAGTCCCAGCCTGATTTTTAAAGAACAGGAGATTACGAATGGTGAACGAAGTGAGAGGGGCAGAAATACTGGGGGCAATCATACCCTACGAGACTTTTGAAAATTCTAGCAAACCTCTCAGTTTCTCAGGCACGCTGCTGACTACACAATTGATTTGGGGGCAGAAGTGGTGATCGATGGTAACCTCCAGTTTCTATTGGAATCTTGATTCCTCAAAATTTTATAACTCTTATATCTCTGAGTGAAATTTTACATTTCTCCACATTTCCTAAATATTCTTGGCTACGTGACTTGCCTGATATGCTGGTATGCCAATGAGCAAAGAAAAACACTAGGAATTTCTTTTAATAGGAGAATCATCTATGTATTGCTCTTCCCAGCACTTTAATGACTTTCTATCACATGTAAATTTGTATCCAGTATTTATAACATCCTAAGAAACTCCAAGAGGTCTCATTTTAATGTTCTCTTTTAAGATGAAAATTTGGGCCAACCCAATTCATCAGGCAAGAGAGACTATTAAAACTTGTTGCAATAAAGGAGAGGCATTGAACTCAATTATTTGAAACAAAAGATCGGAGAGTTCTATGCACTACACTTGGTGGAAAAATTCTGGAGGACATTAAGGGAAGCTTGGTTGGTGATTAAGCCCTCTGCATTTAGAAAAGGTCTATTTTTTAACACAGGTTCTTAGCCTCCCACAGTCATTCGGATATAATTGCACCATCATTTTCATTGATAATATTCCAAAGGATTGGCTTCAGGCTCTGAAAAAAGACATTTCTGGGCCATAAAAGATTTACAGTTCAATATGTCTGAGGAAGGACATTAAATTTCAAGTCTTCTAGATGTCTAAGGGATATCAGGTCTCCATAGTCATAGGGAAAGTTGTCTAAAGTTAGAGTAAGTTTAGGAAAGTATTAAGAGTTTTTTGGTCACACCCCCCTTTTCATTTCGCCATTTTAGACAATTGTGCTCTTTTCTCTCTCAGTTTCCTCTGTTTCTCTTTCTCCCACTTTCACTGGTCCAGCAGAACATTTACATATGTTCTCTGTCTTAAACTCTCATATTAAAAATCTTTTTTTTCTCAGGATTTGTGTACTATAAATACATCATTTTTAAAAAGGCATTTTTTGCACACAAACTTAAATTCAGCTTTTGGGCCTGGGGGGACCCAAACTTCAGTATTTTCCCAAGTATATATCCATCCATATATAGCATATGCATGTACTTTCTCTCTTCATATGTATAGATTCATGCTGCACACTAGTGCATTTTGTATGTAACTATGAAGCTCTCCTAAATACACAAAAC